TCCTTATATCTATTTCTCTAATCCCCAACCTACTTCTCAAGTACCTATCCCATTTTTCCAATTACTGAGCATTTTTAACTGGGCACCTCATTGATACATCAAACTTTACATGTCAAAAATCAAAATTATCTTAAATCTGCAAGATTTTCCTCTAAGACAAGGAACAAAAAGATACCCACTCTTGCTATTTTTATTCAACATAGTATTGGAAGCCTTAGCCATAGGAATTAGGCAAGAAAAGGAAATAAAGAGCATCCAAATTGGAAAGGAAGACGTAAAACTTACTTTTTGCACTTGAATTTTTGTTTGGACCAAATTCTTCTGTCTCTTCATTTTTTTTTTTAGTGTCTCTTATGGGATAATAGATTTGTGTAGGAGGCACCATCTCGTGCCCAGAAACTCTACTCTCTGGAGTTGCCGAGCACCTGTACCAATGGCAGGGGGTTGCAAGTGAGCGGAACAGTGCCTGCTGGGAGGAAAGACCTCTTTCCTGCCTTCCTGGCTGTAAGGTCAGCCTCCACTGACAGGTCCAGTGGGCTGACACACAGGCAGGAGCCTCTGCTATGCCCCTGTAGCTGTCATAGGTGGGGCCACCCTCTAGCTGGCCTGGTGCAGTGGCAGGGGCAGCAGGTGTGCAGGACCAGTGCCTGCTGGGAGGAAGGAGCGGCAGGCTGTGTATCACAGTGGAGGTCCTCAAGGCTGCTTTGTCAGCTAGGGAGATGGAGTGTCAGAAGCTCCTGAGAGTGAGAGTTCCCAACCTGCTGGGTGAGTGTATCAAGATGATTGTGTCCACCTGCCCTTTCTTCTGCACAGTGAGCTCTGTGTATTCTTTGCCCCTTTGGTGTCCCTCTTGCTGCTGGGAAGTTTTTCAAACTGCCTAATTTCCTTTTGTCCTACAGGGCTGGTTGTGTGTACCTGTTCTCCATAAGCAGTTGGAATCTCAGTCTCTCGAGTATTCCACCCATCTTTGCTTTCCAACCCCACTAATCTCCAGAGCACCATGTAATGTGGGTTCGTGCTCCAGGAGCAGATCTCCAGAGCTGGGTGTTCAGCAGTCCTGGGCTTTTTTTCCCTTCCTGCTCTGTCTCTCTTCCTCCTACCTGTGGGCTGGGGTTGGGGAAGGGCTTGGGTCCCGCTGGATCACAGCTTAGTTACTTTACCCATTCTGTGAGGTCTTCTCTTTTCCCCAGATGTGGGCAGTCTGTTCTGCAGTCTTCAGATTGCTTTTTCAGGATTAGTTGTATTTGCTGTATTTTTGTGTTTTATGCAATTTCAGGAGGAGGTTTCTGCCTCACTTCCCACACCACCATCTGTTTCTGACCCCTGTCTTTCACATCTTAAAAGAGCTACTTTAATCAAATCCTTCTCCCCTTTAAAAACAATCAGACTCCCTATGTCTTCCAACATTTTCCCAAACTGTTCTGAGAACAGGGTGAGATATTAAGGGGAGAAGTTAATAGGATCACCATTGAGGAAATTTGTCATCAGTTTTTAAAGATTATATGTATACTTTGTCCCTCTCTTAAAGGTTCAGAATTCATCATTGTAATTTGAAAAGTTTGCAGAACTAAAATTCCTATTTTGGCAGATTGTGTTTTCCAAAGTTGGCTACAACAATAATCCCATACCATGTACTCTTTGTACAGTATGACTTTGACATACTCAGAGGGCATGTGTAGGTGTTCCTGGCCAGCATCCTGTCCAACAGCAGCATCAGTCATCAGACATGGCTCCTGCCCCTAGTAAATTAATCATACCCAGCTATGGAGTCTTTTCAGCCAATGCCCCAGACATGACAGGTTAAAGATAGACTTATTTTTTCTGTACCCTTTCTCAATTCCTGACCCACAGAATTCCATGAGTACAATAAAATGGTTGACTTAAGCCACTAAGTTTTGGGGTAGTATGTTATACAGCAAGACTAACTGGAATACCCATATACTATATATAATTTTGTGTGTGAATAATAGAACTTCTCTTTTTCCTAGTCAGTCCACAGACGTTTATTTATTTTATGTGTCTTATTGCATTGGCTGGGTCCTCAAGTAAATGTGTAATAGAAGTGTTGATAGCAGACTTCTTTGTCTTGATCCCATCCCCAGAGGGTCTTTCAGCATTTCACCTTAGTAAAATGTTTGCTATAGGTTTTTTTATACTTATATTTCATAAAAGAAAATCCTTGTATTTACCCTTTTTAAAGTGTTTTTATGACTGTTGGATATTATCAAATGTATTTTCTGTATTGATTGAAGTGACTGTATGATTTTTCTCCTTTATTAGTGTTAATATGGTAACTTGATTAAATTTTGAATGTTAAAACAACCTTGCAGTTCTGATCTATACCCAATTTGATTGTCATGTATAACCCTTTAATGTACCACTGGATTTGGTTTGCTAATATTTTAAATAGTTTTTGCATCTCTGTTAATGAGAAAGGTACTTTTCCTTTCTTATAATGTCTTTGTCAGTTATTGATATCAAGACTTGCTGACCTTATAAAATGAGGTGGGAAGTGGTCATTCTTTTTCTATTCTCTGAACAACTCTGTAAGATTGGTATTGTTTCTTCTTTTAAGTATTGACTCTCATCTGGAGCAAAATTACAGATTCAATGTATTTAATAGATATAGGACTATTCAGATTTTTCTAGCCTTTTTGTGTTTGTCTTGGAATTTGCACATGTCAAATTTATTGTCATGAAATTCTTCATAATATGCTTTTATTATCTCTTTAATGTCCATAGAATTGGAGTAATCTTCTCTTTTTAATTCTGGTATTAGTTATTGGTACCCTTTTTCTTGATGAATCTTCTCAGGAGTTTAAATCTTTTCAAAGTACAAACTTGGCTTTGTAATCACTCAAAAGTAAACTTCTTGGCTATCCCATTAATTTATATTCTTTATTATTTTCTTTCTTTCAATTTTCCTTATTTGGATTCATTTAGTTTTTCTAACTCCTTAAGATAGGTGGTTTGGCCCTTGATATCCAGGGTTTTTTCCTAATTTTTAGGGAATATTTTGGAAAGCATTTTAGGACATTAAATTTTCCTACAGTTATGCCTTTATCTGCATCCCATACATTTTTATATGTCATATTTTCATTATTTATTACACTATTATTCAGTTGTAAATTACATTGTGATTTCTTCTCTCATTCATTTGTCATTTAAAAGTATATTGCTGAATTTCCAAAGGTTGGGATATTTTCTTATTATTTTTTATTTAGGGCATAATTATACTGTGATTAGAGAACATACTGTATATTATTTCAGTTCTTTGATGTTTGTTGAGACTTTGTTATGTGGTCCACTATCTGGTCAGTTTTGTACACTTGAAAAGGATGTGCATTTTATCAACATTGACTGTCAATTTTTTTATATAAATATTATGTTATTCAAAAATTCTATACTTTCCTTGATTTTTTTTTTTCTCTTTGCTTATTCTGTCAGATACTAAGAGGTATGTCAGAATCTTCTACTATCATTGTGGTTTTATCTATTTCTCCTTTTACTTCTGTCAATTTTTAATTTATATCTTGGGATGCTAAAATATTTAGTACATGCTCATTTAGAATTACTGTGGTCTTTTGGTGGATTAACTTATGAAATGTCTCTGTTTATCTCACATCTTACTTTAAAGTGTACTTTTTACATTTGCTTACAGTATGGCTACATCATCTTTCCTTTGATATTATTTGTGTGGTATATGAATTTTCATCCTTTTATTTTTATTCCCATGTATCCTTATTCTTAATGTCTATCATTTGTAAGTAGCATGTAGGTGTTTTATTTTCATCCAATCTGATCTTTGCCTTTATCTAATTAGCATAGTCTATTTACACTGAACTTAGTACTGATATATTTAAGTTTAAATGTATTATTTTACCATTTTTTAAATTTATTTGTTATAGCTGATCTATATTCTCTGCTGCTCATTTTTATATCAATGTATTTGTCTTTTTTTTAATTAATTTGTTATTTCACATTCTTGTATGGTTCTTTTCACTAGTTACAGATTCTTTGAACATATTTTTTTTTTAAATATTTTCTCTGGCTTTTCAAACTGTTCTCGATGGAAGGTTGTTTCAAAACAAGCTAGTCTTTCCTTCCTAACACAGGTTCAAACTTAATTTTAATGTGTACTTTAAACTAAAACCCTCTAATTTAAAACAACCCCCAAACACGTCTCTGTTATATGCCAAACACTCAATATACAGAGATCACCAGCATGTTAATGTTTGCTACTTGACTAATTAAAAAGAAATAGGACTCGAAATCTTCTGCTGCCATTTTTAAATATATTTATATTTCTTTATATTGTCTTTTGATAACAATTACAAATTTTGTATCTCTTCCCTGGGCCTTTAAAAATTTAATCTTCACTTGTTCGGTCACTAAATATTTTACAAGTTGGTTTAGTACTGGCGCCCAGGAATAGCAGTGATTAATTGACAGTCAAGGCTCATACACATGCGAAGTATATGATCTGTGTATGATTGTAGGGTGATAACACAGCTCACAACTCATATTTGATAATATTATGTACAAGGTTTTTGCCATTTGAAATCATTTCAGGAGCTGCTTATCTACCTTACCTGTATGATAAATAATACAAATTATAGTTAGGTGTTGTAGCAATATTGTTAAATATTGCTTTAACTTTGAAAGAAAACTATCACTCTACCTTGCTGTCAAGTGTAATATAGTTTAATTGAAGACTCTCTGGACATTGCAGCACAAGTTTTTTAAAAACTTTTATCATTTGCAGTTCTTATGTAGATGGATAAAGCAGAATTCTTACTGAGTGGACAGAGTTATATGCAGACATTTTTGGTGTGCTAAAGCTGAGTGAGACTCATTTGTAACTCCACTTTCAATTATTTTTGTTCATTACTACTGCCTCATTGCTCTCATTGGCTGACTGTATAATAAATAAGTATAACTTTGAACCTCTGAAATGTTTACTGATCAAATGCTGCTTCTCTCTTTCATATATTGTCTAGGTTTGTCTAAGTTTTATTGGGGAAAAAACCTTTTCCTAATTAAAATCAGAAACCAATTACTATAAGCAGAGGAACACAAATTTTAGGTAAGTAGGCTTTGCCTAAGTTCTACAAATTGTACCCACACTTGGTTTTTATCCAGCCTAAGTCTTGCTGCTTATCAAAACTGATTTCATTAAAGATTGCCCATAGGCTGTGCCTGAAGGCTTCACCTTCATATTAAAGGCTTCACCTTCAGCCTTTAATAGTAAATATTTAGGACACACTCTCAGTTGTTAATTTGATGCTTGCAGAACTGAATTAGATTGGATTCTTCGGTAAGGAAGAATTTGAATTCATATTTCTTAAGTTTTTCTTTGTTTTTTATTTGGCTGCATCAAAGTCAGAGAACGTAAGAGTGAAGTAAAATTTTTAAAATGCTGTATAAATACATAGGTTAACTCCATGTTTCTCAGTTGTGTCTTAGAGTTGTGCTTACTTTTTTGTTTCCCAGTTTTTGAAGACTGTTTGAGTTTTGGAGCCACTTGAATTCTCATTAATTTGTGGCTAATCAAACTCCCAAGATATCATTTACTTGAAATTAAGTATTTATGAGTTAAATATAGTTAGTAACTTTGAATTCTCTTCTGGTGCAAGTATTCAGTTTCGCCATTGTCTTCTCTGTCAGTACTCTAATTTAATGCTGTGTGTAATAGCTAAAACTAATATTGTTTCCAACACTTTATAAATGTCCTAAGACCTTCACAAATATTCTGTGTTTTGTGATAATTTTAGAGATTGGGTTATAGTGACATTTTCTTAGTGAACTAAAAATCAATCCATAAGAAAAGGTGAGATGATACTTTTATTTAGTTACTTAGTTAATATGTTTTGAATGGAGAAGAGTCCTCACTTTTTAAGTGAGAATTTTTTATTTTCTAAGCAGTTTTATTTAAGAAAATCAATTTTGGACTTTTGGTTACACATGGAGGTTGGAATATATGTTTATTTTTCTCCCTGACTAAAGCCACTAAGATGACAGTAAAAGTTATAATGCCATAAATTAAGAAAAGGGAAGAGGCAACGTAATACTGGATTAGAGAAGTGAGATTTTAGAAATGTTAGAAAGTGGGTAGATAAATTATAACCAATTTAGCAGAGCTGACCAGTCTTGATGGAACATGATAGTTGGTCATAAGGTTGAACTATAATTTATTTAATCATCCCCTTAATGTTGAATTATATATGTATATATATAACTTTTAGTGAGTATATAATGATTTGTCATATTATTTAAATATTATTTAAAGATTCTTCCATTAATGGCCATTTAGATTCTTCAGGTCTTCAGTGTTATAAATAGCATTCTAAACATTCATTCCAAAAAAATTATTTAAATTTCCTTCCTAGAATTGATTTCCCAAAATTACTGAATCAAAGTTTATGCCTTATGGATATTGTCCCATTTGCCAGATTGCTTTCTAAAGTCAATTGTCATTAGCACCACCAATATGTGGAATCTCCCATGTCACTACATCCTAGCCGCCATTGCATTTACTTTAAGGTGTCCAGTCCTCTGCCATCTAGGATTCTTGCTACAACAGAAATAAGGCATGTAACAGCTGGCCAAGTGCTGGAGAGAGCTGCCCTCCCTGGCACCTAGCCCAAGAGCAGGTTTGTTCAACCTTGGCACTACTGGCCTTTAGGGCTAGAGAATTCTTGGTTGCAGGGGGCTTCCCTGTGTACTGCGGGGTGTTCAGCAGCACCCCGGCCACCACTCACTAGATGCCAGCATTGCCTCCTCCCACCCCCAGTTGAGGCAGTAGAAACTATCTCCAGATACTGCCTTATGTTGTCCCCTGTTAAAATTGCCTAAGTTCTACAAATTGTCCCCTGTTGAAAGCCAATGTGCTAGAGAAACCACACAACCTGAGCAGATGGGGGGGAAAAGGCAAGTGCTCCAGAAACCCACAGAGAATACATTGAAACCAGGAAAGAAAACACCTTTTTCCTGTGTGTCTGTCTAGTACCCTCTTCTGACAAAGCTTAGCATCATGTCAACTGGCTGGCAGAAGAAAAATATTTAAAGGCCCAGATGCATTTTTTCAGGAAGGTAGTGAAGTATGAATTTGGAGTTGAAGCAGTAAATTGATAACTGGCACAGAGGGAAAGCATTTCAGAAGTGGTTAGAGAATAAAACATTAGCAAAGCTTTGGAGCAGAAAAGCATGAGTACACTGACGAAAAACAAGGACAGACAGACCAGAGTGCAAGGTCAGTGTGCAGTGGGACAAAGAGAAAGGCCCTAAGGGGACTTAGAATCTGGACTCTGGAGGGCTCTGCATGAGTGGAGGATAGGTGAAGAGGAGGCTAGAAAGGCCACTGAAAGTTTGAGACATAGTCCTGTTGATAGATGCAGGGAAGGTGGGGGCAGAGGTGGAGGAGTGAGATGAATAATTCGGGACTACCTTTTCATACATAATTAGATTATTCAGGAATTGTTCATAATCCTATCTCTTATCCTGTTTTTTCCACCTACTCAGTATATAATATAATAACGTAGAACATTAATAATGCATAAGATGCATTACAGAATTTGGTGGAGAGAGAATGAATAGAGAAGAACACTGAGAGACCGTAGAGTACAAGGGCAAGCCACAACCTGGTTGTTTTTCCACCAGGTAAATGGGCCTCCTGGGCAGAGGAGGCATCTCACTGATAAAGCACAGAGCTCTTAAGAGAATTCCAGCAGAGGGAACACCGAAGCTATCTGTCATTGTCGATAAAGACTGGAGAGGGAGGAGAGTTGTGGGAAAGGCTCTCTGATTCTGATTCACACCCCCTGTAGTCTTTTATTTCACAATACACATATCTCCACTACTGCCTTCTCTTCCAGTTAAAAAAAATTTTTTTTTTCGTAATCCTATAACCCAGAATAGCTGAATGTCATGTAATCTCCTCTTGGCATTTACTTCTACGTATATTTAAATTTGCCTTTTTATTCTTGAATATTGTCTTTGGCTCAAGGTTTTAAATTTTAGTGCGTCTTCATACTGTTTTTCTCCCTTTATTTAGAAATGGACTCTGAAATCAAAGAAGAAATTCCTGTGCATGAGGAATTCATTTTATGTTGTGGAGTTGAAACCCAGGTTCTAAAATGTGGGCCCTGGACTGACCTCCTTAATGACCAAAGTGGCAATAGACCTAAGCTGCTTATTTTTATTATTACTGGTAAGTTTAAAAATCCTTTTGAGGAGACTTTTTATGGATACTTACAACTATTTCTGATTTTAAAGGAAATTGGTAAATACAAAAACCTTATGGGAGAAAATAAAATCATTAAAACCATGGATAAATAACAACCACTCTTAATACTTTGATGGCTGGGCTTTTTTTTTTCTTCTGTGCATTTATATCATATATGTTATGTTGTTTATCATATATGCATATATTTTAAGCACAGTTGGGAGTATATCTACCATACAGAGAGTTTTATAATCTGCCTTTTAAATTTCTTAACAATACTTTAAATAGTTAGAACTTCATCAAATAATTTGGGTAGTTTTCTAAATAATTTTTTCTGTCTCATTTCAAGATGATTTTAAGTTTATTATAGAATATTTATTCTGGGATTTGGCAACTGGATCATTTGTGACTTTTGCTAAGTCACTGTCCACAGAATGTTAGGGATAGATGCCTGATTGAAGATATTTGAAGCACTTTAATTATAAATGAGTTTGAACATAACCTCAAAGATTAAAAATGAAACTTTATTATGTATTATATATATGGCTGAGCCAATGGGATATTCTGATTGCATTTCTTTTCTTGTACATTTTTATATTATCCATGGATTGATTGTCTCTTTTATTTGCTTAATTTTCTATGTTTAATCACATATTTATCCTAAAATCATTCCCTAGAAGTGGAAAAAAATCCTCTCTATACATTTGAGTAATCATTTTTTTTGGGTTTTTTTTTCTTGGTGATATCCCCCGCAGAACTGTTTTTCTGCTCCAGTCTGGACTGATTGCTCTCTAGCCTGCTGTCCCAGGTCATCCTGGGGATCCCTCTCACTTTTCTCCTAGGTTAGATTCCCTGTTTACTGAATCCTGTATTTTCCTCTTTCTTGGTTTATCAGTTGAGCACATCCTCTAGTAGCTTTTAAAGATCTAACGTGTCTGAAAATGTCATAGACTTTTAGGTTGGACATAATTTTTTCCTTAAAATTTGGAGGCTGTTTTCCTTGTTTCCCAGGGTTCAGAAGTGCTTTTTAGAAATTTTGATAACATTCTTATTTTTTTTTGTATGCAAAGTTCCCCCCAAAGAAAAACATTTTAGATTGTTTCTTTATTCTAAGATTCTGAAGTTTTACAGTGAAGCACCTTGGTATGGGTGTTTTTTCATACATTGTATTTGGGTTGTAGTGGACCCATTTAGACCAGATGCTCATACACTTCAATTCTAAGAGTGCTTTCTCTTCATTTTTTATAGTCTCCTGTTTCATGGGTGCATTATAGTGTTCTCTGGCTTCTTGCATTGTTAGAGTTTTTATTGTTTCCCTTCTTCTGTTTGTTTGCATTAATGTTTGTTTTCCCCCAAATGTTTGGTAATGCTTGACTACCCCTTTCAGTTTTAAGAGGGTGACACAAAAAACTAATTGGGAGTTTTGTGTTCAGGGATGGGGCTTGTCCACAGGTAGGCCTAGAGTCACCAGCCATCCTGCTCTGGAGTTCACCAGGACATGTGACTTTGGTACTAAAACCACAACAGTCCTGGGCAAAACAGGGTGGCTGGTCATCCTGGTAGTCTTCCCCTCAGACTGGTTGGGTAGGAACCCAGCACTTCATAGTGTCCTGTTTTAGGAGTGGAAGCCTGTCTGCTAATATTCAGAGCTGAACAAGGGAAAAGAGGTGGGGAGTTTCAGTGTTTAGTAACAGTCTAACCTGCTCTAGGTGTAGTGCTTCTGTGCTCAGCTGGGCTAAGATTCCTGATCCAAAATCTCTCTTTAGTTTAACTTTTCTGGAAGTAAACTTCCAGTCTTCTGCCATAGTGTAACAGTCTTTTTGGAAAGCAGCCTGTATCAATTAAAATTAAAAATACATGTGTCTGTTAGTAGTGAGAAAGAGTTTGAAATTATAGGCATGACAAAGTGCTATTTGATGGAGGCCATGGCAAAGTATAGGGTTGAGAAAATAAGTAGAAACATTATCTTGGAATGAAGAAGAGATTTGTTCCTGAGACTAGAATGAAGGAGGTGAAATTGGTTACTGAATGGAGAAGAGTAAAGATATGTCAAAGGGAGTAAAGTAGTTTCTGCCTACAACCTCTGTTTTCTCTGTTAATTGAGAGTTACGGTGATCTGCTGAGAGTGAGGATGGCGGGGAGGTGGATGGGGGCTTTGAGGAAAGTGGCCAATGTTGAGAATAGTAAATATGCAGGATGAAAGGAAGTATCAACCAAAAGTAAGTAGGTAGATTTTTAGCAGCCCTGTGATCAAATAGCCGGTGTACTAGGAGTGAGGTCTACAGGGCAGAAGATTGAGCTGGAGAAGAACTATGAGAGGTAGGATGCTTTGAGTGTTAACCATTTCTGGCTAACGAAAAGGTCTAGACCTGTGATTCTTAAAGCTGGTGTTAGGAGCAGCAGTGTTATCTGAAAACTTGTTAGAAATGCAAGTTCTTGGGCCCCGTCCCAGATTCTCTGAACCAGAAACCAGGGATGGGCAATCTGTGTTGTAACAGGCCCGCCAGGAGAATGTTATGCACACACATCACACTAATCTTGGGTGTGGCAGTGAAAATTAGTTGCTAACTTTAATTTACATGAACTTCTTTGAATTTGATCAAGGTGATGAATTATAGGAAAAGGTGTTGTCTCAGGCAGTCCACCCAAATTTCAAAATTACCTTATCAGGGAGTGACAAGTGAAACTGTCACTTAAGGGTCAAGATTTTTCAGGGAACATGTGAGAACAGCTAAAATGTTGATAGAAGTAGATGGCTTCAGTCTCAGAGGATGATAGGTGGTTACAGTAAGATGAACTAGGAAGTGGAGCAGAAAGCTGTCCACTTCCCTACTTAGAGGTGTTGGTTCTTTCACCCAGTTGTACTAGGTGTTAGGAATACTGTGTTGCAAAAATCTTTGCTTTCATTGAACTGTGGGAGGTCTCCTGCACAGGCTTGAAAGGAAAAACCCGTCATAGGGGAGAGCCAGGTTGAAGAGACGGTGAGAAGATTGAGGGAGCGTTCAGTGAGGACAGTGAAGAGAAAAGGAAGCTTAAAACATTTGTTGTTGTATAAAGTCTTGTTTTATAGTGATTTGACATTTTGAGACCATGTGTTTAGTCTCCTGGTATTCTTTTGTGTTTGTCTGTCTGTTCTTACTGCTGCCCTTGGCCCTTTTCCTTGGAGGTCATGAAGCTGTAGGCTGGTGCTGCTCATTAATTTGTGGGATTCAAAACGGTATTTCATTTTGGAACTAGTCTGTTTATACCATGGGGGAAATTAAGATGGCAGTATTTCAAGGATCATTAAGCCACTATAGACATCATGTTTAGCCCATCTCTGATAGACTGACATAACATTTCATTTAAATCATTTTGCTTTTGCAGGTAGCAAAATTAATTAATCACTTCCAAGTTAGTAATGTTAATGAGGACTGATTTATTAGAATTCACAGATTAAGGAACTTTTAAATTAGTTTCATGGTATCTCTAGTGAACCTTTGTTGTAGAATTTCTGTTAAGTAACAGGTTCCTTGGACTTTCTTTAATAGTGAAGTGAGCAAAGGGAGGTAATTTGAGAACTCACTATAGAACCTATTCAAATGGCCACATGGGAATAATAGAATCATGGATTTGTCTTATTGTGGGTGCAGTGATTGGAGATGGAGAAAACAAGCTCAGTAGACTAGCCCAAAGTTCTCTCCACCTGGCAGCCTTCTATATAGATGCTATGTTATATTAACTTGATAAATGGAAGGTTTTGTCCCCTACAGGATTAACTGGAAAGCATAAACAATTGCAATGTTGAATAGTTATTTATTTATTGGCAATTGATGTCTAGAGATGGTCACCACAGCCTCTTATACACTGTTCAGGCACATTTGACTATGTGTATGTTACATGTTTATCACACATTTTGATATCCTTTGATAAAATGTTTTACTTGGCATATCTATATTGGAATATTTTCCAACATCCCTACACCTGGATACACACACACACACACACACACACACATATATACATATATCTGATTTTAGTTGCATAAACAAGGCCCTTTTAATTTTCCTTGTGGTTTCCTAACCAGGAAGTTTAATTCATGGTTCATAAAATGTAACATAAGCCATAACGTTTAAGTGGTGAAGTATGCAATGACATTTAAATGAATTGCATTACATTTTCCACTTCTATCTCTAAGTTGGATCCTCATGTTACTGGCCATTACGGACTCCTCTGTTTCTTCAGGAGCCAAGCTCTGTTTTGCTTGCGGGCCTTTGCAACTACTCTCCTCCCGTTCGAGTATTCTCTTCCCTCAAATTTTTGCAAGGTGGATTTCTTCTCATCTTTTGGGTCTTAGCTAAACCACCTCAGACATTATTCCCAGGCTACCCTAATCTCTTCCCTTCTCTATCACATGATCCTATTTATCCTTCATAGAAGTTATGACTCTCTTGAATTATTTATTTAGTTCTGTATATATTCTCCCACTAGAATATAAATTACAAAAAAGCCCTTATCTGTCTTGTGCCTAACTCAGTGACTTCTTTATACTAAGTGGTGAAAAATAATTGATAACTAAAAGAATATAAAAAAGAAGCTATGGTGCTAAATAGAATCAGTGAAAATGAAATAGTTGGCATTATCATTTACTTGATGACAAAATAGTGAATCAGAAAATTTCAAGGGGGTTGCTTAAGATATTACAGTCATTGAAAGAAAGAACTCAGACCTAAATCCAGAGCTGGGAGAAAAATTTGTTAGAGCAGTTAGTTATATTAATTAGTATGCATTGATTTTATGTATCCTGTCATTGTAACCACTGCATCCAAATCATGTAGTTATTATCTTTGGATTCTCCTCACTGTTAGGCTAGTTTTAACTTGTAAACTTACAGAATATTATGTGTCAAATTTATTCACTAAAAAAATTAAAAATACATAATAGTAACTATAGCAATAATAGCTACCATTTACTTGGCACCTACTGCGTGCCATGTACTGTGCAACCAGCTCTCCATTCATTATCCATAATGATAATGTCAACTACTTGTAGAGCCATTATAAGATTAACTAAAACAAGGTATGCAGAAGATCCTAGACCAGGTGATTATGTGTGTGTGGTTTTTTTTTTTAATTCAGTATTAATATTTCCTTTTGTCACCTTTCAGTCATCAAATACTTTTTGAGAACTTACCAACTATGTGACCTTGGGCTTGTTATTCAACCTCTCTGTTCCTCAGTTTCCTCTTACCTAAAAGGGAAATAGTAATAGTACATAATACTACTTCATATGAGGACTAAATGAGTTAATAAATGTAAAGCACTTAAATACTGCCTGGCATGTATTAAGTTATAGCACTGAAAAATATTGACTATTACTATTTTCTAGCCATATAAAGAAAACTATAGAACTTTGCTGAGAGACATAAAACATTTGAATATGAGATTAAACACATTCCTAGAAGATTATACTCAGTGTCATATCTTTCTAAATTAGTGTATAAATGAGATGAAATTTCGATCAAAATTCTGAAGAGTTTTTTAATAATTGAAACTGGTGAAAATAATTCAGAAGGGTATAAGGTCAGCCTTGAAAATTTATAAAAAATAAACAGAAAGAAGGGGTTTGCCCTGCCAGTTACTGAAACAATGAAAAAAAATGTAGTAATCAAGACAGTATGGTGCTGGCAGAGGAGAAAAGGAAAAAATACATGGAATTATTTGGAATCAGAATTAGCAAGCCAATGTTAGAAGTCAGTATTGGATCGGAAGACATTTCAAATCAATGCAGAGAGAATGGATTATATAAAATGGTCTTGGGACACTTGGCTAATCACTTGGAAAGAAATTGGATGGTTACTTTGTACTTTATACTAAAAAATATTCCAAACTTATTGAATACTGAAATATAAAATATGAACCCATACCATCCACATCCACCATAGACGTCCCAGCCCCTGTGCTGGCACACCCCTCCTTGTTTCTTTTCCTGTGGCTGCACAGGGGCCAGTTAACTGGCCAAAGAGCATATTACAGCCTTTGAGGAAGTTTCCACTCGATTTAGCAAAGATGGCACAAGCACCTTCACAGAAAGGAATTTGCAGCTTTGGTGACCAGGTCAAAATGCAACAGAAGCAAATTAACTGTGTGGATGATAAGGCCAGTCATATATGAGTCATGGCTGGACACCGACGACAAGTTGGAATAGCTAACATTTACACAGCACTTGTGTACTGAACAGTATATAAGTATTTTATATATATTAATTCATTTAGTTCTCATGTGAGGTAGTATGATTATTTTCCTCATTTTTGGACAAGGAAACCAAATCCCAGAGAGGCTATGAAACTTGCCAAACATCACACACTTGATAAGTGGCAAAGCCAGGATTCCAACCCAGGCAGTCTGGTCAAGAGTCAGTGCCCTTAACCACTTTGCAACACTGCCTATCTAAGAAACTAAAAGATACAGACAATGAAGAAGAAATCAGTGATGTTTGACAAGAATGGCAGAGGTTACAACAATGCGGGAAAACTATGTCATGTAATTGCAAAGAGGAGAAGATCTTGGCATGAGGAAATAGATAAATTGGAGAAATACATATTTATGGAAAGGGACCAGTATGAAGACATTATGCAGGTGATGATTACAAAGATGAAAACCCCATTTCACTGTCTTTTCCCCCTAAAAATATATCAGATTGACACTTTTTTAAAAAGTTCTTTCCTTCTGTTTCTCTACAGCAAACTCCTGTCAAAGATACCTTCTGTACACACACAAGACAAAATCCACATGTATTAGTTGATGGTCTTTTTCCCAAAAGATCGAACTATACATCTGTTTACAATATAAGTACTTATGATAAATGACAAGGAAACAGGAGGCTCCTTAAATTCTTTTGTGAATGATTTGTACACTGACTTGTTTTCATGCAGTTTGGTAACTGAACATAGTCAGACTTCAAACCTTGAAGGGCCTTATAGACAGTATTAATGATTTAGACTCTCCAGATGACAAGGGGAAGCCACTGAAAGGTGTTTAGCTAGAGTACTGCCATCATTTGATTTGAGGTTTGAAGATTTCTCTCTGTGTACTCTCAGTTTCCAAGGGGATAGGAATAGAGAGAGGACCTATTATGAGGCTGTTGCAGGAAACCCAGTGGGAGGTGATACTACTAACAGAAAGAGGTGGACAAAGTTGAGGTGTATTTTGGAAGCCAAGTTAACAGGACTTGTTGGCTAATTGAATGTGAAGAACAAAGAGAAACGAAGAACGGCTCCTGGTGTTAGGACTTGAGTACTTGGTTTATGATTGGTGGCTCCATCTACTGAGTGAGGAACAGGTAGGAAGAATTTATTTGAAACAGTTGGAGAACAAAACAAGAGCAGACATTTTCTAAGTGATCATTCCCAAACTTAAGGTAAAGGATATTAAAATTGAGATATATGTGTAAATGTTACCAGATTTACAGAGGAAAGTGTTAGGAAAAATAGATCCTTTCTTCCAGTCTGCACATCAACTTGGTTGAGTTTATTGCTTTGATTAATCTAAGATCTGTGTTTCTTTTCTTAGGTAACCCAGGATTTTCTGCCTTTTATGTGCCATTTGCAAAGGCTTTGTACTCAGCAGTAAACAGACGCTTTCCAGTTTGGGTTATCAGTCATGCTGGGCATGCCTTGGCCCCCAAAGACAAGAGGATGCTTACAAGCTTGGATGGTATGTCTTTATTAACATCTACTTTCCTTTATAGTGAGTTGGGTGCTATTGTTTCTGGAAAATCTGTTAAGATTAAGAATTACTACACCAATGGAAACCTCTGCTTGTGGCATCAGTCCTATGATACCACATTTTGGTAATTTTAGGATTTTGAGAGTTGTTTTAACTCTTATGTAGGTAATCTTCTATAAAACTTGGGCAGATCAAACAGTTTGTCTGGAACCTGCCCTCTCTAGTAACCACCTAGGAACTGACTATTTATTGATCAGGCACTATATTTTCAGGGTTGTGCTAAGAGGAATGGTGGAGAAAAAATATTATAGGTCATGGTTCTTATTCTGAAGAAGCTCTCACTCTAACACTTAGAGAATGAGTAAGTGATAAACTCTCATCTGACCATGTGAATACTTCAGGAGTGAACAAAGGAGAAAACACAGTATGGGTTTGAATAGACTTTGTAGAGTAGACGAGTTTTGACAGTTGAGTAGAATTTGGATTTGAGGGGTGGAGGTGGGTGCATAGGTGTAACAGGCAAAAGGAGTAGCCCAGCAGGGGGAGAGACAGGAGGCGTGTTAGTGCCAGCAGGGCCGGACTGGGAGGAGCCCACCTGGGGGACAGCGAGGACTCTCATATTCCACATGTGTTAGGCTGCTGGAAGCCTTTCCCGGAGGGAGTAGTACCATCGACATGCAAATTACCTGCTTTTAATTTATGAGAATTCTAGCATGTTCACTCTTCTAAAAAATGAAAAATGAGAGGAAAAAATAAAATAAAACTTCTCTGTAGACATTCCATTCAAGGGCCATTGTCTTCTGTTATGAGCATCTTCTTGTATTTACTGAGCAATAATAGGGAAACCATGTGTGGGTAGGGAGAGGAAAAGGAGCAGGTGATATGGGAACTCTGTATATTAATCTGTTCTGATTTTCTATAAATCTAAAGCCATTCTAAAAAATAAAACCTGTTAATAAAAAAGTGTTGGAATTAAAAAATAATTACATTTTACATTTTATCATTATACTAGTCAGCCAGAACAGCCGTTAAGAAAAACATAGACTAGAAAGCTTAAATGACAGGAACTTATTTTCCCACGGCCCGAAGCTGAACGTCCGAGATCGTGGTTTCATCACGGTCGGGCTCGGGTGAGAGCCCTCTTCCTGGCTTGCCATTGGCTGCCTTCTTTCTGCGTCTTCACGACAGATAAGAGAGTGGGAGAGGGAGAGCCTCAACGAGCTCTCTGCTGTCTCTTCTTACAAGGACCTTAATCTCGTTATGGGGGCCCCACCCTCATGACCTCCCCTACCCCAGTTAATCTCCCCAAGGCCCCACCTCAAAAATACCATCACACTGGGGGTTACAGCATCATCATAAGAATTTTAAGGGACAAAAACACTCAGTCCCTAACAGTCATGAATGGGAATGTTACGTTTTGGCATTGTAAATCTGATCACAGGTATAGGTCAGCATATACAGATGACATTGCACCGGAGCATACAAGTTACCTCTTAGGCATTTTTTACTAAATATTCAAGTTTTAGTAGCAGCCTTTGGTCCATCCTCAGAAGTATTAACCAACAGTTTTTAGGAGATGGTCCTTTGAAGCCTTGATCCTATTGAATAGTGAAGGAAAAGTTTCTCTTCCAAGTGAAATTTCTTTCCACATACATGAACATATGCAGGTGTGCTAAATTTGTAAGAATTCCTTTATTTGAGGAAGTGGGTGACCATTAAGAGGTGATTCCTGTTTTTATCCATATCCTATTTTTGACTGTTAACTGGACCATATGTCCAAGACAGGATAGTTACTGGAGAATTTAAGAAACAAAATCCCCCTCGTGAACCAGAGAAGATACTCTTTCGTTCCGAAGTCAGTATGGAATTTGGTTCTCTTTTCTTTTCCCTTCTGAAGCCAGAGCTCAAACTCTTCATGTATCATCTCACCAAGAACATCTCAAGCCCCTGGCTCTTGACCTCTCCTCTTAATTCGCAAATGCAGTAGTGTAGCTCAGCTTCCTGAAATGTTAGTTCTGGTTCCAGAATTCTGTGAATTTTAAATTGACTTTAACATCACATGCCAACTCTTGAGAATGGAATTTAAGCCTCTTATTTTTCTTAGTCCCACTTTCTCAATGTAATCATTTTCAAGTACCTGCTGGGAATTTGCCTCTTTGATAACATTTAGGGAAAAATAACACCTGTGCTTAAACAAATCTTTTTACAGTTACATTGTTTATTGTTAGGTAAAGTCATCACCCATTCTAACTGTGTCTTTTTAAGGCATCACACATAAGATTACCTTTGCTTTGGCAAACTGTCTACTCTCTGCTAAAACAGTTTCCACTCTTAGTGTCCAAGCTTTAGGTAAACAAGGCCATCCAGACTTTGTTTCAGTACTTCAATAGCTTAGATTTCTTCTACTACCACCTCTACCTACTTTATCTTTTTTACTTCCCTAATTATCTTCTATTTAGCATGATAGATCTACAAAGTCAGTGCAGTACTTATTATAATTTCATTTAGAATTAAAGCAGCACAGATTCAGTGTAATCCTTATATAAAATCCTACCAAAATTCCAGTAGTATTTTTCACAGAAATAGAAAAAAAAATCTTAAAATTCATGTGGAACCACGAAAGGCACCAAATAGCCAAAATAATCTTGAGAAAGAAGAATAAGAAAGCTTCACACTTCCTGATTTCAAACTGTTACAATGGTAATAATCAGGCAATATGGTACTGACATAAAAAAATGAACAGAAGAGAGCAGAGAGCGAGAAATAAACCCCACACATACAGGGTCAGCTAATCTTTGACAAGGATGTTAAGAGTACGCAATATGAAAAGGATAGTGTCTTCAATAAATGGTCTTGGGACAACTGCTGTCCATATGCAAAAGAATGAAACTGAAACCTTATCTTACACCACACACAAAAACTAACTTGGAATGTATTAAATACTTAAATTTAAGACCTGAAACCGTAAAACTCTTAGAAGAAAGCATAGGGAAAAAGCTCCATGACTTAGGTCTTGGCAGTGATTTTTTTTGGATATGACACCAAAAGTAGAGGTAACAAAAGCAAGAATAAACAAGTGGGACAATATCAAACTCAAGTGTCTATAGAGCAAAGAAAACAACAAAATAAAAAAGCCTGCAGAGTGAGAGAAAATATTTGCAAACTATGTATTTGATAAGGGAATAATTTCCAAAATATATAAGGAACTCATGTAACTCATTCGCAAAAAACTAATAGCTTGATTTTAAAATGGGCAAATTTTTCCAAAGAAGTCGTAAATGGCCAACAGGGATATGAAAAAAAGCTCACATCACCAATCATCAGGGAAATGCAAATCAAAACCACAGTGAAATTCACCTCACTTCTATTAGGATTGCTGTTACCAAAAAGAAAAAATAACAAACATTGATTGGCAAGGGTGTGGGGAAAAGGGAGCCCTTGTGTACTGTCAGTATGAATGTAAATTGGTGCACCCACCATGGAAACAGCATGGAGGCGCCTCAGAAATTAAAAACAGCAATAATCATATGATCTAGCAATCCTACTTCTGTGTATATATCCAAAGGAAATGAAATCTGTACTCCCGTGTTCACTGCAACATTACTTGTGATACATGGATAATTCCAAGATATAAAACAAGTGTGTGTTGATGGATGAAGAAAATGTACACACACATGTAATGGAATATTATTCAACCATTTAAAAAGAAGGAAATCTTGCCATTTATAACAGTATGGCTGAACCTGGAGGATATTACGCTAAGTAAAATAATCCAGACACAGAAAGATAAATACTATATGATGTCACTTATATGTGGAATCTAAAAAAGTCAAACTCTGAGCCAGAGAGTAGAACGGTGGTCGCCAGGAACTGAGGGGTGGGAGAAATGGGGAGATGTTGGTCAAAGGATAACAACTTTTCAGTTGTAAGGTGAGTAAGCTCTGGGATCTAATGTTCATCATGGTGATTATAGTTAATAATAATGTATTGTGTAATTGAAATGTGCTGAGAGAGTAGATCTTATGTGTTCTCACTATAGCAAAAAAGAAAAAAGGTAACTGTTCCCTCAGTTCCCAGCCTTCTGGTGGTGGCTCCCTCAGTTAGGAATGCCTGCGTGCTCACCCAGGCACACATCACCAGTAAGGGCTCCACAGATGTTTCCACAGATGTTCCCCACTGGGCTGGCTCTTGTGGTTATAGATGATCACAGGACACACTTTACCAAGAAACTATCAGGGAACATTGAGGAATAAGATTATCACTCAGTTCCTGGAGGATACATTTGGGGGTGGGGTGGGGCACAGACTTGGGGCTCTGCCTTTATCAGGGTCCTAGGGTGGGATGTCTAGGGTTTGGCAGGTTTGATGTTTATTGGCTGACTTAAAGCATAAGAACTGGAATTAGGGAGTGGGCAGGGAGAAGCGAGCCACACTGGCAGTCAGCTCTCTGGGGTACCCAAGGCCTTCTGGGGACCTTTATGGGTGGAGGCAGCCTAGTTCTTTAGCTGGTGGTTTTGCTAATAGCTGTGCAGTACACCTGTGGCAGTGTGTTTATTCAACATGGTGTCTTTTGAAGTGGATGCCTAGTCAATCAAAAGCTTAATGTCAGGCACTCAACCCTGCACTGTGTGAGGTGATGGTGTGTTAATCCACTTGATTGTGGTGGTCACATGTATGCTTCTATAAAATCATCACATAAAAACAATTATGTTGTACAACTTAAACATATATAATTTCTATTTGTCAGTCATACTTAAGTAAAGCAGGGAAGAATTTTAAAAAATGGATGATGGTATATATGGTCTTATTATATATTATTCTCTGTATTTTTATGTATATTTGAAAGTTTCCACTATTAAAAAAAGGTTTTAAAGAAAGAGGAATAACTATAGAATCTTAGAGCTAGAAGCATCTACATCAAATCCCACCTTGCACCTTTATTTTTCAAGGAAGTAAAGTAAGGTGCAAGAGGGCTAAATGGCCTTCAAC